ATTGTGACCTCCTCCATGACTCAATGAAACAGAAACCAAATACTTGAGTGATAAACTGTAGGAAAATGTTTGGCTTAGTCACAGGATTTCATAAATTTATAAGCGCATGGAACCGAATTAGGTCACGAGGTGACATTAATTAAAGAACCACTGAAAAAAACTATAGTACTGGATGATTCATGATCGTGGTCTTTTCGTATCCTAACCTGAAATAGATCAAATCCCAACAAACCAACAGTTTGAGGTAATTTACCGCTAATTAGTGACTGACTACGGATTTCAAGAGCAGTTGGACCCACCGAGTCGGTTTTGAAAACAGATACTCTGCGGCAACGCTAGCTGGCTATACATATCGCGAATTACCAGTACCTGGAATTCATGGACTATTGGAATCCGTCTCAGCGTTGAATTATTAACGGGTTCGTTTGTCAACCTATATTTCCTGGATGCTGTTTGTTTCATGGTTTTCAATAGTTATCTAACATATATCAGGTCATAATATAAATTGAAATAACTTCCTGGCAAGATGGTTTCTCAAACCACTCATTCCTTCATTTCATCCATAAATCTTTTCTTATATACGTACATTTTGTTTAAATTAGACACTTAATGATTTATTTTCTATGTTGCTACGCAATAAGATGAAGAAACGAATTTAAACAAGTCTCTCTTCTCTATAGTATAAAAGTACAAAATCATGCGTTACTGTTAGTATTTATGATAATGAAGTTTTACGTGATTAGTTAAAGACTTTGTAAAGCGCTACTCACTCACCTACTTACTTAATAGCCCACTTACTCACCTACTTTCCTAACTTTTAACTTACCTACTTAAGTGTTTGCGTAAACCAGATAGTCTTTTTATTAACTCAACAGTTAAAAACTCCTCTGCTATCTAGATTCAGTCTACGTTCAACACGATGGCATAGAAAAACTGTTTAGAATGAAACAAGAACTAATTTTATGTCTACAGGTGTGAAATATTTATTTCATTCAGTAGGCGTGTAGAAATAATAAATCAGGTGTTACATAATCACTACACATTCTATGGTTTATTCCCATTCCCCCTTCCCATACCTCTTTTTTCACACTATTTCTCTTCACATAGGTAAATTAACCAAGCTTGAATTAAGCGTATAGAAATTACGACAGTGTGGGAAAAGATACAGGGTAAGATAGAGAGAGAGGGAGGGGCATGAAGGGGAAGAGAGAAGGATTCCGGTTTCATTTGGATTTCGCATCTGTTAGCTATATTATATACAATTATGCAGTTCCACACTGCACGAAGTACATTGCATACCATTTGGGATGTGGGGATAGTCAAGGCCATGCGTTTCAGTTTTGGCAAATGAAACCTTCTACCCGAAAAGTCTATTTCCCAGCAGAATCAGACGTCAGTGAACTACCACTTCCAAACTGCCTAGTTAAGAGGAGAGAAAACGGACAATTTGGTATATCTATATTCAGGAAGAAAACCCACTCCAATAGATATTTAGACTTTGGGCCACCACACCCCTTCAGCCCAAAGGTATTAGTTGTTTCAATTTTTCTTGGACAGACACACTCTTTGATAACGGATGGGAATGAAAAAGAAGAAGAAATATCAAACACCAATGAGACCGTCAGCAAAATAACTACCCAGAGAACTTCATCAACAAAAACAACATTGACATCAAGTGTGGTCGAAAACGTATTCCGAAAACATGGACTTCAACAGTTGTCATTCCATATAGAGCAGATATGTCAGACGATATCAGAAGAATACTCAATAAGCATGACATCAGAGTTTTCTTCAAAACATCAGACACTCACACTACGAAGCAACTTTGTACATATAAAAGACCAAATCCCCAAAGATTCTCTAATTGTATCTATAAAATAAAATGCTTGCTTGGAATGTGATGCCATATACATTGGACAAACATCTCGAGAAATCAAAATCGAAAGAAATGAACACTGTAAAGCATCTGTTTGACCACTGAAAAATCCAGTTGAAATGGAAAACCTTGAAAAATCACTAGACATACGTCCACATGCTATGGAATCGATGGACAAAATTGATTTTGACACTATTGAAATAATCCAGAAAAAGCATTTCAGAAATCACAAAGAACGTCTTATGTCATCAGAAGCACTTCATATCAAATGAAATCCAAATTATCTGAATAGGAATGATGAACTGAAACAGAATTTGATCTGGTTACAACAGTCCCCCCCAAACCTCCATGAAATGACAAAATCAACACGGATTTGATAAGCAATTTCATTATGTAAACACATGCTGCCTTCACAATCATATACATTTATCGAATCCAACAGTCTACACCTGATTTTGTTATCTTTACCAGTCGGCCAAATAGACTACGTAAAAATGCCCCCATGCTGAGGAATGATGATTAAGTTGTTATATATAAGCTGGGATTTTGTGTATTCTGGTTTAATAATACTTTGATAAATCTGTTAGCATTAAACAGCTTAACGTCAGTAAAAACAATATCCTTTTGTTTTCCACTCATTAGGAAATACAAAAACAATGTTTATTATAAAGGGTTATTCGATTATTAGCTCCAGACTGTTGAAACAATTACAGCTCTTATATTCTGTGGTCCCTAGAAAGTGTATAAACAGAATTCAATGAAGTCATTCACTTTCGTAATCCATTATATGACTGGTATTCATCCATACTTGATTATCATGCAAACATACAATCTGACACAAAATATATCTCATCATAATGCCTAAAAATAAAGCGTGATAGCATAGCTTAAAATACGTAACCAGGAATATTTGAAAACCTTTCTTTAGTCTCATCGCTGAAATTACTTAAATTGCTGACTAGTTCACAACACTGAACATTCATAATTTGTGATCCACAAACTCACCGTTACTGCCAAAAATGTTATTATATATATATATAAAGCTGTGTACATTAAAATAAAGCCTGAAGACCCCATTGAAAACAATACTGTTCTCTTGCATGTCATTATGTAATCGTAACCGATGTAAAGTTTACCCGTTCAATATTCAGTCTATTAGCACTACAAAATTCACAAAAGAAGTTTATGGAAAGTATCTTCGAACTTTTAACTTTTAAGCTAATTGTGTTCTTACTTTCTCGAATAGTAGTACTAAATTATTATTATTATTATTATTGTTCTCTTGGATTCCGAGTGGAAAGTAGGGCTTCAACACCATATCTCCACTTTGTTCTCTTTTCTACTGTCCTCTTCATCTGGGTACCCAACTACCTATACTCTCTCATGGGCGAAGTTCAACAATAGTGCGAACGCTCCAATGACCTTGTATGCGTGCTAGTCGTTGGCTGATGGCACCTGCCATTATCATAACTGAAATATCAATGCTATTTACCAACTAAACAGCAAATTATACTTAGATCACCTCTTTAAGTACTGCTTATAGAAAGTGGTAATAGCCCCTTTGTTTTAGGATTAGAGTTAAGGTAATTGTTGGGGTTAGGGTTAGGATCAGGGTCATAATTAGCATTAGGGTTAGGTTTTCGGTTAGGATAAAAGTTGTAAATATGGTTAATATTAAGTTTAAAGTCAGGGTCAGGATAAATTTGTCTTATTATCCACATTTTCCTGGTAAGTAGTCGTCGATCCTCTTACCGGAAACCATAGTAACTCAACGGGGGGCTTTTGGGGAAGACTGAGCAACAGGATTAGAGAGATAAGCAATTGACAAAATTAGCTCATCTTTAGCCACCTCGGGGAATACATGCATAGAAACTAATCTAACTTAGCAACTGATGCTCCTCACTGGGACGTATTTTTAATTTATGTTAGAAAAAGATACCCTGTTTAATGTGTTTTCATGCATTTTCTTGTAAATGTATGCCATTTTTTGTGCAAAAGCTCCCCATTTTTATGATTAGCCAGCTGAACGTCACTCGTGCGTTCGCATCCCTTGGGACGCTATTGTTAAACTTCGCCCTCTTATCTTCTGCTCACACCATCTCTTCAGTATAACCCTCGCATCGACGACCCACTCGTTGCTTCTGATTCGGGTTACACTTGAGTGATAGTTTTCGTTTTCTCCTACATATCCGTCGAAAGAGGTTTTTGGCCAGTTTGCTCCCATAGTTTCTTGTTGCTAATTCTTCCTGGCCAGCCTTTCGATCTTCATTATAGAGTGAAGACAGTTGTTGATGAATATCTGCAAACTGTTGGAAAGACTTTTTTGTTATACGCCACTTTTCTGATCCATACAGAAGAAGTGACTTTACATTTGTGTGAACAAAATACGAACCTTGATCTTTGAACTGAGTGCATAAGATTTCCAAATGGATTTCAGATTGATGAAGGGATATCTTGCCTTTCCCATCCTGGCTTTGAAATCTTCATTCCTTTCTCCTGTGGTTGAAATGATGCTTACTGGATAAGTACTAAATATCTCTCATTTCCTTTTCAAGAGTAATCGCTCTTGAAAGTAAGGAGGCACTTCACCTTTGGTCCAAATTGACAATATAACCAGCTCATATAATAAAAACAATTTCTGTGTATAAGGTGATCGTTTCCATATATTTTATTTCTAAAGTCACTAAGCCTACCAAGTCTAAAATACACATATCTTTTAGGGAAAACACTGATCCCATAAAAAACAGAATGCGTGCCCATGATTCCATCCCTAGTGGACATCAACCATATTATTGTCGCTTTTAACCTCAGGACATAATAGAAGCGTTACCACCGGGGGCCAAGTAAGACTTTGCTCCTTATATGTTAGTCACAACCACAGCCAAGCGGAGTAACTCTTGGATACTCTTAAAATTCGATGTCTAAATCTGCGGTGCTAGATACATGTGCCTGTCACTGAATAGTCGTTATTATTATGTATACAGCTGATGGAGGCTGACAGTCACCTGAAGTATCGCTTAAATACTTTACTCAAACTAATCTCTGCTTAAAAATAACCTCAAGTTTAATATTTCTTTCTATCCACCAACTAAAATCTTATTTTTTTGTTCTTCTATAATTACAGACTCATATACAATTACAATTCATTACAGAATTATGTTTATTACAAAAAGGTTTGGCAAATCATTACTATGTTTTGAATCAACATCAACCTCAGAACCAGCACCAACAAGCTGGACAAATTCACCTACCAGGGACAAGTGATACAAAATCAAGTTTTTCAGCTTGTGAATTAATTGGTCCAAATTCACAGTTTACTGAACAAGCCTTATCCATACTGTCCATCTGGCGACTGGATCCAATGACAAATAAACAGATTAAGCATACACTGAAAACACCAACATGCCATTTTTCACCAATCGTTCCTGCTACTTATGCTGAAAGTAAGTAGTATGTGTCGTAAATTTTGTATATATATATATATATATATATATATAGCTGGATGGGTAGAACACCTCTTCAGGTGTCATTATTTGTGTTAGTTATTAAGTTAGTAACTCATCACCCGCTTTTCTCCAATGTCTTTCCTAGTGACAAAAATCATGGGAATTCGGTCTTCCTTTCTTTATCGAAATTCGGTTTCCGGCTGACGTACTGCTAAATGTCACCTAGTTAGTTGGCCTGTAATACAATAGGAAATGAAGGGATGTTGGGAGTGAAACTGTCAACCCAACTTAGTAATCAGCAATAACACCACCACTACCGGCACTTCAAAGACTTAAAGCTCTAGGTAACCCCTTATAACGCATGGAATTTAGAAAAAAATTATTTACCATAAAGTGAAACACAATATTCAATTTGGCGTAATAACCAGACGGCCCTGGGTTCGAACTCCGGCGAGTGAATAATGTGAAGAGTACCAAACGAGGACTAAACAGATCTCCAGTACCCCCAAGTTTTCCAATGGTTCTCTCACCGATGTCAGCTCACGATGAAATCCTCCATTCATATAAAATATCTCCATTAGACTAAGAGTCCGTTTCTGCAAATAGAGAGATTTTTCCAAGGTATATCTTATCGATCTGTTTATAGAGTATGTTTAATAATGTATTCCATACCAGAGCTGTTCCCTTTTAATCTCCTAACCCTCTGAAAATAAAATAAACATAAAACAGCTTAGAGGTAGAACAGATGAGGAGGAGGAGGAAAGGAGTGATAACTATGTTGTAAACCTTTTGCTGAAGCTTATCTACATTACTCTGACCAACAACTTACTCTGATAGGTTCAGTCTGCTACCATTATAATAGTTGAATAAATAATTCCCAGTGTAACATTAAGAACGTTATATTCAGTGAAGAGACTCTTTTAGACAAACTTATTATCAGTTCACTATATGGCGTGACTATTAACGAATATTATTTGTGGCAAGTATCCGTCCTCAAACCCTACCTTCTCTACCCCACTGGCCACGACTTGCCCACTTACCTGAAGAAGGCCAGTCATTAATGAGCATCAGATTGGTATTCAAGTGTTGGTTTGCAGGGATTTGATTGGTTTCAGGATGTTGTCACGCACTTACATTGGTTGGAGAACGTTCGGAAAACCTGGGGGTACTGGACAGTTGTTTCGTTTTGGGCTCGAACCCCAGAGGTGTATACTGATGAAGAGTCCCAAACCATGACGAAACAGTTGTCCAGTACATCCAGGTCTTCCAGTTGTCCTCGATGTCAGTCCAAAACACCTAAATTCATTATCAATCTGCACGATCGTATATATATATATATATATGATCTTTAAGTAACTATATCTATGAGGGGATCTAAACAAAGGCGTGAATACCTAAAATAATAATGGGAAACACGATAAAATATTTCTGGCTGTAATTGTACTTCCTTATCAACGGATAAATCAAATAATTTTATAGATTAAATAGTCCAGAGAATGTGTAGATGCTGGAAAGAGATGTGAAGTTATTGCAATTAAACAGTGTGACATGATAGAATTTATCACTGCCAAAATAATAAATGGGACAAGTGAGATAATACCGGGAACTGTTTAGACTGAAAAGAGAAATAACAACAATTACAGTGATAAGAGGAAAGTACGTAGATTAAATAAACAAAGCAAAAACTAAATAAACAAGTGTTTATCCCTCTACGACTAAGGTAGGAATATGGACTGTACATACTTCTTTTGTACACAAAGGTCTAGCTCCAGTTCATGAATGGTCAAGGCTGTCAGTTGTCTTTAGAATTTTGAGAAAAAGAAAATCAATCAAGTTAGCATAGACTCAATAGGCAATCTTAAAATCATAGTCGGTGTTGGTAGAATGACAGGAGTCCATAAGTTGTTCTAGAATAGAGCTTCGTACACCCTTTCTTTCTCCCTAGTGAAACTATGCTGGAATATGTACTTCAATCCGTCTAGAAAGAATTGTATGGCTACAGACGATGAGTTCTGCTCCATAAGAGCAGGTAAAGTGATAAATGCACTTGGATGCAGATAGACAAGGGTCTTACCTTTTACGAAGACGGAGAACACTTAATGGTTGGTGAAGGTCGATTAAAGTTTAGCTGCAGAGTACGTTCTACTGACCGATTTAGAAAGACGATTTTTGAGAATGCCTTAGGCTTTATTCCCTTTGAATTCGAAATTCATGAAGATAGCACACATAGAATTTTAATCAATTAATCAGCTTATACGTCTACGTAATACATCAACTTGTACCGAATGCCATTATATTTTATTTGTAAAATGTTACTTTGAAGCATCACGGTTAGGATACAGGTTAAATCCAACACAATATATCACTTGGATACTTCACTGAATGTTAGTTTACAGTTTTACTGGATGGGTAAACTAATTTTTATCTATATGTCTAGTCTATGTTTTATTCAGTAATTAATTACCACTAGTACCAGATATCCCTGCGTCAGATATCTATATTACCTGAAGAATAATCCAAGACAATACGGATACTCCATCGTAAAACATATCTGAGAGTGACCACAAGTGTGTCATGGTTACTGGATTATTAGTCATTCACTTGATATGGGTTCATGAAACCCTTTCTTTCGGTTTCTTCAGCTCGAGAATACATTGCAACCATCCTAGAATGTCACTACTGAGTAACTTTCCTCATGTAGAACTTAGCTGATTTTATCTGCTAAATGGCAATGTATAGTAAAATATTATCAACTTGAGAGACGGACGAATAACCTATTAATGTCAGATAAAGTTTCGTTGTTATCCATTAGAATTCATCTTACTAAGTTTCCATTAAAGAGAAACAGGTGTCAGATTTCTTAAGAAATCATCTCCCCCCCCCCTTTACCCACCCACACACATTTTCATTTGACGTTCAACTAATAATAAAAGGCTTTTCATTCTGAGCATGTCATTCTGTACACTAAACCGAAAGTCATTCATTTCAATTTTCTTACTTGTTTAAATGAAATTCGATAATTCAGTGTACCGTTTTCCACTATTCCTTATGATAAAAATAAAATAATTTCGACAAACAATCAGATAGAGTGAAAAATCAAGAGCAACCTTATTCCTTTCTTGTTTCTCCTCTGTCTCTCTGTCTCACACACACACACACATAAACATCACAACAGACGGACAGATTGTTCTGACTTCCAACCTCATTTTTCATGTCCTTATTTGATTATTTGTTTTACTTTTCCAATTTCAAGGTCATCTGTCACGATTATTAAGAATGACCAGTTTGAATGAACACGAATACCACCCGAAAAAATTGAAACAGAAAGCTAAGATGTCGGTTTCTACGAATAATCAAACTGATTTTACTCAAACTGATGGAAATCAATTAGATTTTGATTATGAACAAATAACCACATCAATTGGAAGTCTGTCAACATTAATTAATGCTGTTTATCGTTTAATGTTGACCAGTTTGACAGTAATGATAGCAATGGGTGGATTGTTGGTTTGTCTTCATATGATATCAGTTTTAGCGCGTATGATTATACGCATTCCAGTGCGAAAGGTGGGTCAAATGAAGGCGAGTAACAGAGTTTTTTTTTCATTTTATTGCTGTAGAATAATTAATTTGTAAATTTTGAACAAATTTAAAAGTCTTAAGGAGTATTCTCCTTTGCAACAAGGAACTGGGCGTGGCGTTGGAACTTTACCTCATTGAAAACTGGTTATAGGTAGTTGGTTACTTAGATCTCGGTTACTCAGAACAGGTGCTTACATGTACCACGTTATGAGCTCTACTTCTGGGGTAAGGGCTATTGAGATTACTAAGTTACTCATTCTGAAGCAGTAAAGCAGGATACAAACATCATTATCAATGACTGAAAGTCGAGCATGTAAGTCAATCAGCTATATCTCATAGATGAATAGTCATTATCAGCAGAGAAGTAATTTTACAGAACAACAGCTGAAGTTACCATATATCTGAGTGTCAAATTTGTTAAAATCAACTCCAGACTGTTTATCCTTCACTCTGTTTGTTGTTTTAACTTGCAGTTATCTAACCCAGTTTGAATTCTGAATATTTTAACTACATAGGAAAATTGTTCTTTCAAATACCTAATCAATGATTAAGTGCATAAGAGTTGATCGCAATGTAGCAAATGACGACACACCATTACTAGATGCCTGAACTATTAATTATAGCATAATGAATAAGCTTGTTTGATATGACATACAGAAATATAGATTAACTACTGGTAGAATGTGATTTTGTACGTATTTCATTGTGTTCATTGAAGGCACATGTTCCCCTAGCTTGCTTGATATATATTTATGTATTTTACTACGGATTTTTGGTGGAATTTCCTGTATATCGGAGAACAGCGTTGCGTCATCCCCACTGCGATTCCTGAGTACTGATTTGCTGAAGAGAGATTGTGTGATCTGCCGTTCTGTCTCTTTACTGAACTATACTAATGCTTGAGGATGCCACTCTACTAGACTCTCTCTCTGTTACATTAGCTAAGTTTTTTTAAATTACTCATCCTATGGGAGTTTAATATTTAGGACGTATGTTCTTGACCTCCTATTTATTACACAATTTTTGTTAAATTAAATTGTTTTTTGTCTAATTTTGTCAATGGGATCCTTAAGCTGAAAAACTTTGTCTTTAGGATAGGGTCAGATACCACTCAAATTTCAGTCTTATTATGAGTTCTAACTAGGTTTAGAATTTTAACCCAATTACCTAAACAAAATTAAATTGAACTCGCTTTTAATGATAAAAAAGTCAGTTTATTTAAAGTCTAGATATCTATTGGAATATGTCAGCTTCTTACAGAATCAAGAATGTAGCTCCCCTGCCTTTCATAGTGTCTACCTTTCCACAATGCAACAAGACATATGAAATTTGAATAAAGCAAGAATAACAGTGGCTTGTGCAGAATAATATGGTACCATCATTTATTTTGTTGGTTTCTTATCATCTGCTTACAGCCTAAATAAATTATGAGGTTTACGTACAGAAACGTTTTAACATACTTGCAAATTTTACACGTTGTCAGTTGACAGAAAGTTCCACAATTAGTGAACAGTGCTCAGAAAATTGCGCTTATATAATTTTTACACAGGCAGTTCAAGTTTAAACAAAATAAATGTATGCATATAATGGTAAAGAAGTTGCGTAATAAAGATGAGGTGTGCGTTAGATGCATGGTGACTAATAAATCAGGTAACAATGCACTGAGTTGAACTCAAATCATAGAAACAAGAGACAAGCAAAATTACAGATTATTAAAGGAGGGTGAGGTTAAAAACAAAGATTACGTAATCAGATGAGAGAATAAAGACATCCAGTTGCCAGGGCAAGGAAGTACTAACAACTGCTTCTTTCTGAATTCATAAATCTGGTTTCAATCGTTTGATAGAAATTGCTTCGGCAAACTTGAGGAGAATCGAGCTCCTTTTTCTATTGATGATTTTAAAGGATTTCTCGATTTCCACATATGAAATTTATTCTGTTCATCAAATACCTTAAAAGTGGGTTTGAATCCTATAAGCACTTGGTTTATATCAGTGAATGAATTACGGATACAGTGATTAGTCAATGTGGATTAATCGGTGACATCTACATAGTGCTTAGTCGGGGTGTTGACACAACTCAGTCAATCGATTTTGCAGTATGATTACGAAGTTAATAGACTCACGAAAGAGATGCCCTTTGAATTGACTTTAAGTGGTTTGAGACAGTACACAAGAAGTTGTGAAACTAAGTTTCACGAATTCTGATACTCGTCAGTAAGAGTTGTATCTGTAACCTCAAAGAATGGAACCCCTGTCACCTAGTGTTGCCGTCAGACTACAGGTGAAACTGAGCACTATTTGAGCTTAACAAAGACTTCCTGTAGGACTGTAGGCATTACAGTGACTCGCAACTATTGGCTGACGTCCAGTATCTAGTTCTCCGTGTAACTCCCGAACATACCTCTGACAGTAGCACTTGATGACGTGAGTTGAAATGTCGCAGAAAACATCAGTCCTTTGGAAATAAGAGACACGTCTTGTTAATAAATGCCATCAAGCATGAAACCTCACTTCAGAGGTTCCCAGAGTTTTCCTTAAATGATAAAAATCAAATTATGAAAATGTTTGCACATCAACATCCATGCGGATAGATTTTAGGGACGCTCAGTCCCTCTCCTCAGATGTGATCAATATATGTGCACACTACATTTACAATGTTTTAATATCTCAAGAATGAAAATATGTGATTGGCAATTTCTCAAACTTAATTTTTAGCTTAAGCCTCAACTTTCATGCAACTCTTCAGAATATTTTCATTTTAATGTCAATAAAACCAACTTCCAACATTATACCTTCTTGATAGCTATGCCAAAAAAGCTGGCTGTCATAGCCAGTCATGTCTACGAGGCAGTGCTCAGAGCGTGCCTACACTATGAGTGTTTCGTTCGAGTGCCAGTGGGTTCAATACAGTTCACTGAATGCAAGCCGAATTCAACTGAAAAATCACTTGATGAGACGAAACACGTCTCCTAGAATCCACTGGCAGTGATCCCTACTAGTCACACAAAATAATATTCCTCCATTGATTTTTGGCTCCTTTTTCCATTTCATATTTAGATTTACTATGCATCCAGTTATCCGCCGTATACATCCTCTGTAAACAATCAAAGTTACTCACCCACTCCATTTCGACGAAGAAATAGCCTATCAAGGTGAATAATAAGTGAGAATAATCAATAATATGTAACAGAATACTGCTTGCCTGTCTGTTGTACAAACTTTGAAGCATACTTCATTGCCCTTCTGCTTGGCTCTCTACAAGTCAGAAGATCCACAGCTACCTACTTATTATCAAGAATCAAACCGATGGTTGAAATGCTAGACAATAGGAAATAATAATAATAATAATTTGAATTACCATTTCTTCAATGATCGATACACTTTTAAACAAAATAGCGATTCACTGATACTATTGAACATTGAAAGATATGAAATATCCAGATCTTAAATTGTTATTTCCCTTTTCCTTCTGCTTGCTCAAAAATTTTTTCCCTCTATCAGTAAATAAATAAACATGAATAAAATGAAGAGAGCACACACACACACGCACGCACAAGTTTGCCAAGAATAACTTGAACAAAATATAGTGTTACATAGACGTCATTTTTTTTCGTAAAGCTTCTCCTCTGTATATCTCATCTGCTTTCGGAGAAAACAAAAATGAAGGAGAAGCAGCAAAAAAAAGTGTATCTATTCTACTTTCTGGATTTCTTTTGCTTCAAAAATAGAAACTGTATCATTTTAAGGATTTGAGATATAGCAAAAACAAGTATGCTTGCGTTTATATATGTGTGTGTATGTGTGTGGACGAAGAGTGGCATTTGTATTTCGCCTTTCTTTTTTATCTCTCCTCTCCCTCCCATTCTCTCTTCCTCTCTCTCTCTCTCTCACTCACTCACTCACGCACTCACTCATGGGAGAAGAAAACCTCAAAGCACAGAAGAATCTGTTGTAGACAAATAAAAAGTGGCTAATGGCTGAATACTGCTCTTCAAAAGGACAAAGAGTATGGGGAGAAAATGCCTACTTCTGCTGATATAACTCCAAAGCCTCGACTTTCCGTTTTTTTAAAAAAAAATCGTCTCTACACTCATCTCTTTTTACTTTGTGAATACGTTTCTTCTACTTCTTCTTCTGAAGTTGATGCTGCTGCTGCTGATGATGATAGAGTCTTTTATTATCGTTAATACTACTACTACTACTATTAATATTATCAGTAGTAGGATTATCACAAATAGCTTTATTTTATTGCAGTACATGTTGTATATGTATATTGTCTTTGATAAATGTTGTACATTGACTACTTTTACAAAATCAGTTTCTACTTGTGAATATATATATATTGATAAAAGTCATGGTATTTTGTTTGTTTTTTATTTGTGCATGGCCACTCACTATTGATCCCCTTGATACTCTTGTAATAGTCAATTTTTCAGCTGAAGAAGACAGAAGAATAGTTTAAAACTGCATTCCGTACGTTGAATTTGATAGGAAAAACAACAATATTTTCCGTCTATCTATCTATGCAGGTGTCTGTATTTTTTGTTTGTTTATCTAAATAATGAGACAGTGTAAATATTGACTAACTCTAAGGATGAATAACTAACTAACTGACTAACTAGCTAAATATTCTTTATCGTTAAGAAACAATATTTTTTTCGGCTTTATATTTATTTTTACTTTTCCTGTTTAAATATAATGTCTTTCTGCATAAGACCTGCGGTATCTGGATAAATTATGGTGAAAAATCAATAAAATCGATACACAGGTGTATTTCACCTTGTGAATTCGAGTTTGAAATACACTATTAAACTAATTCTTTTTTATTAGAAAAGTATTTTTGCTGTTGTTTTTTTTTGAAATATCTGTAACGATTGGTTGATTTTTTGAGGGTAGAGTCACACTTACCAAGCCTAACCTTTGCATTTTATTCGAGCTTATATAAGTGGTTGGTAAAATAAGCAGCATAAATGGATGCAGTCTAGAATAGTAGTCACAAGTCTACCCCACCTTCAACAACGTCAAACGTAGAGTATTTTGGAAACTACATCAACACTTCCGAGTGGCCTAACTCTTTTTATCAAACTCATTCAACAGCTGGCTTTACAACAATGTCACGTTTCAGGTGATCCACAACGGAAAGAAAACTCAGCGATGTATTTAAAGCGAAGACAGGAGTAAAACAAAAGGCTGTCTACCATCATGTATGATATTCCTAATTGCGGTAGACTGGAATATAATGCACACAGGGAGTAAGGAGCGTGAGGATAAAAAAAACACTAGATCGATAACACTAGTCTACAACATCTTGACTTTATGGCTGATATTGGTCTGATGTGGCACACATTCGAAGGCCTACAGGCGAGAATTAATATGTGGGCAGAAGAAGCAGTGAAGGTGGGACTTCATACAAACATAGAGAAGGTGGAAGTGATGAAGATAAAAAGCGAACTTGAGAAAACACCAATCACTTTCAATGGAGGAAATTTGAAAGAGATCACTTTCTTCGCATATTTGGGCAGCATCGTTCCACCTACAGACGGGATGGATCAAGAACCCAAAGAAAAATCCGAAAGGGGGAAATAGGATAAACTGTCAAACTTTTACGATCAGGTAATGACAGCGAGGTCAAGATTTCATAATTCTGGATATCGATCGAGCTTATAGCGTGAAACTTTGCACAAAGTTGTATCATTTCAAATTTATCACATTTCAGAAAAGCCCTTATCAAAGCAGGGAAATGGATTACGATGAAACTACAGTAGACCAAAGCGTATGGGAAAGCGGATAATTAAATTAGGGTTAGTGAGAGGTGTTAGAAGCTTATAAGTCTCAAGCAGAGAATACATCTGCGTAAATGCAGACATTTCTATGCCATGTCACCAACCGTTGACTGCTAGCAGCTCCATGACCTCCTTACTTAGCTAGAGCCAGCAGTCAAAGATATTATGAACCCGTGCCATGTGTACGTCTGAAAACATCTTAGTTATCCTCCAAACATGTCCGACTTTAGGTAACACATCTCGTCGAGGAGGATGGTGAATTAGCATGCTTAAACTGATGAGTACAACTTGTATGAATAGTATATCCGGATTACGTGGGTGTTAACAGCAGTTGTCCAAAACATTTTATAGTGTTTTTAGAAGGCCGCGATTAGTTTAATGTTTAACAACCTACAACCTAGACGGTTATTGAACATCCGTAATATATACCAGGTGTTCGCAGGTGTAGATATTATAGAGAAGATTTGTAGCTCAGGTGGATGATTTTGATGTGGTTTTGTTCTCTGAGCTGGATGGTTAGTTCGCAGGTGTACAGCCTCTGGGACTCGAACGCATCCTGTTGTGTCGGAAAGAATACTCTCTAAGCTTTGTGTGGCCAGTATAATTATCCCTAAAGGAGCAAATTAACTGATAAACACATTTTCAAGTAGCGCAAAATTACAATTTATCCTTTACACATCCACTGATCATTTGTAAACTGTAAAAACAGATCCAAAAAGAGTGATTTTCCTCTGTAATAACCTTTAAATTCAACATCCATAAAGAAAGATTTCTTTGACACTGTGTGAATTCAATCAGACTGCTGCTTTACTCTCAAGTTTTATGGATTAATTCTCTAGAGTACCTTTTTACTTAACGAGTACTCTTCTCAGTCTCTCCAGTTCCTTGTCGACTGGATCATAGGTGCAAATGCTTCTAATGCTTCACTGCGTTCACAAAAATGATATCTGGCTAGAAGCTTATCATTCCCTAGGTAACCGCAAAAGTGAGAATTTTGTACAAATGTTTGATTTCCAAATCGAGCGAGTGGATTCTAACTGCTGAATGACTAGCTCTGAAGTTCTCTGGATATATCAGCTTTCAAATTTGACACATATCGTCATTACAGAAGACAGTCTAACTCTTACAATACCTGGGTGTAAATGATGAAATATCTGATATGGTATAAATTTTATTAAAGGTAAATAGATAGTGGAATGAGTACTTATTCATATTGTTATTACTCACCCCTTGTGTTCTGAGTGTACCAGAGGGCTTCAGAGGCTTATGTTCATTTCACTATGCTCTATGCTATCATTTTTAGCTGGCTCTACGACCGCCTAAAAGCTCACATCTCCTCCTTACATGGTCTTCATTTCATTCTCTAACTCTCAGCCGGTCATTTCCTATTCAAATTCCACTTAAGATGGTGTGTGACATATAGTGTCACTCGATAACTGTTCAGTAAATTTCCAGTCCATCCCTATTTTTTCTGTGTATTTCTTTTGCAGTGAGCTGTTGGCCGGCTTTCTGCCAGGATTTCCTTCTAGTTGGCTTTCTAACCCTCAGTATTAAACATGAGGGACAAGTGTTGATGAAGTTCTTAATCAGCCCGCAAGAAATTCTTATGTTCTAGGTGATAACACAAAATAAAGTTATTCAGCCTTATGCATATTTTTCTATTTCCAACCTTCTTCTTGAAAAACTCTCTCAAATTATTTTTATTGTGCAATATTTAAATGGAAACCTATGGCATAGTTCACAAAAACTTCATTCATTCTCCACAAAGAATGAGAAAATAATGATTATAAATTAACACTGGTATCTGTGTGTACATATACGATTAAACAGAAGATGAGCTTAGCGTTACATTAAATGTCAATCTGAACAAAAAACATTCTTTTCAGATTTGTTGTGAGCAAATACTTGAACTCATGAAAGAAACTGGCGAAGATCATCTTGTTGGATCCTAGTCATCTTAACCATCTGCAACTCTCTCCTAGCACATCATTCAGTGGGATTGAAAGCTATTATAAGAAACTTTATGCCTGTACAACTAAGTTTAGAAACTCTTGTCTGATATGCGCCTGCCTGATATGATGAGAAGAGTGTTAGACGTGAACCTGGTAACTCACTGTGAAACACTCAGTTAATAGCCCTTTCTGTTTCCTTCTTTCAATGATACCTTTTAATTTTAAATTTATATTCTTTGTTAACATTGCTATCAATGTAAATGTCCTGTTAATTACTCGCTTCCCCCGCTTACTATGTAATGCAATGTGAAAATTAATGAGATACTGTACTAAATAATTAAGATTCTAAATTGTTTCGAATATAATGTTTGGAATAAAGTCATTATTCCCATTTTCTATAGTTGGTTTGTAAGAGTTAGAT